TTATTCACAAACACATTTAGTCTCCTCTTAAATACAGACCACATATTTCTGACTCAGAACCAGAATTTTTAATATTAATTTTAAACCAAAACTGAACAAGAATTTGTCACGAAAAGCAAAAATTCACATTCACAACTATTGTAAAATGTCAGAAAAAAATTAAAAATTGACATTTTCTCAGCATCCATTGTAGCTGGCACTTCATTCATTCACAGAGATGATTTCCTAACTTTGTTGCAAAATAAATAAATAAATAAATAAATAAATAAATAAATAAATAAATAAATAAAGACGATCTTTGCTTTAACTGGGGGTGTATCCACTGGGAATTAACAGCCTTCAACATATTGAAACACACACATGTTTAACATGTGATGCTAAATTATAATTGAATCTGTATCTTAACTACAGTATATATAGTGTGAATTATACTGTAGGTCAATATTGTTTCCTCTTAAAAGTACTAAATAACAAAACATGCCTTTTAAGAGATTAAAAAATGTCAACTTTAGKATTATTCCATTAAGTGCTGGAATTCAGACAGCTAAGCAGAAAGACATTTACCTGCGTCTGGTAGCCTTGATGACTCGTGTGCAAAGATTCAAAGCCTGAATGTGTCAGCACTATTTGTTCGTCAACAAACAGCAGTGAATCTTCAGAGACTTGATTATTTGCCAAAAGCTCAGTGAAACTGAACATTTTAATTAATAGAAGAGCTACTTCAAAATATATCACTCTTGGGGGAAAAACTGCACTCGTTATTCTATTCATACGTTCAATACTTTCAAATGTGGACAAACAAAATGCTGCCCAGGAAATGAAATCAACTTTTTATTTTGTTTTCATGTGAATGCCAACTGGTGGCTCCAGGGCGAAAACCAACCCGGAAGTGAAGTGTGTTGAAGTTTGGAAACTGTTGATGGTTTTTAAGTTTTAGCTCATCTCTTAGTTGTACAGTATGTACAGGAGAGACCTGAGCCACAAACAGATCAACATACGTATCAGCAAAYGCCACAATATTTCACATTTTATGATGTTGAATGGTTTGATTTCATGATAGATTCAATCCATTCCTGTTCGTCAAATAAAGTAATTCTGTCAGTGTTTTCAGCACTCAGTGTGGAAATTATTTGACATACACTGCTTTTCATTTTCCAATCCCATTTTGGTTCTAAAATTGTTCAAAAAAAGCACAAAGAAATGAAAACAAATAAACCAATTAGGAACATTTCAACGACAAAACAACACAAAGACCACTAAAAAGCAACCAAAAAATCACAGATCCTGACAATATGGTATTCATGGTTTTCAATTTAGAATCAAGGTAACCTAACAGAAATAGTAATGGGAAATGTGTTTTTTTATAAACACTTAACACAACACCACAAAAAAGTAATGTGACAGAACTTGCAAAAGACATAATGAAATCTTTGTGCCTTTTGTCAGTAAAACATTACTGTTCCCATGAGGCTGCTCAGAAGAAGAGGAAAGGAAGCAGCAATTTAGCTCTTGAGCAACCATGGGACACTAGGCTGTAAAGCAAGTTGACAATCTAATCTATATCTAGGTTACTTTTCCCCATTTATAACACTTAAGTATTGTGTCTGTTGTGCAGTTTTCATTTTAATATTTGTGAGGTTACAGAAAGAAAATTTACAAAAACCTATTTTGAATGGCTGAAAGAACAAGGATCTGCACTAAAGATGACAAGAAAGTGGAAGCATGTTTGACTGAAAACGTCTGGGCATTTTGTCATGTCACAAAAGGTAATAAGATATGAGCTGCATCTCTGCCATTTCAAATTTGCGAGTAACAAATTGAATGTGTGGTTAGTTATGTTTTTTTAAAGTCAGAAACTTTTATATCCTCCTTTATATTCACTTTACCATTTTGGTATTCAATTTTTTAGAAAGCTTTCAAAATAAGATAATTTTCTAATTGCAAGAATACTTTTTTGTAAGCCATTATTACTTCCTCATTAAGTAAAATACAAACAGAAGTGTTAAACTTGACTAAACAACAAGAATTCTTGTGGAAAAGATCAATATGTGGATTCTTTCTCCAGTGATGTAACCCTGGATGTCTTCTGAATAACCCTAAAATATAAGATCAGAAAATTTTAAATACTGTTTTRATCAAATCAGGTATTAAGCTCCAACAGTATAATAATCATTTATAATGTTTGCCTAAAAACACAAACGGGTGATTTCTCAGCATTTCATTCAAGCAGCATCTGCTTCAAATCACCAACACTGTTGACATGACATGTATTTCAGGCACCATAAACAAGGTCTTTTTTTAATAAATCTTGACTTGAAAGGAGAAGTKGGTAAAGAAAAGTGATGATTGGATCAATGAATGGATGTTTCACACTTTTTTTTTGTAAGGGGCTAAATTTAAACAATTTATGGTTTCTCTGCTCACGTCTTTAGTAACACATTAACTTTCAAGCATTTTCATTGGAAGCAGTGATATCAAAGCAGTGAGAGTAACTTCAGTCGACCACAGTTTGCTGATCAAAGGCCAGMGTTTGTAAATTTTAACTTCAGCCTGAGCTGTGATGGGAGAAAATTATATATTAACCAATAATACTGTGATACAAAATGTTGGTCGTACCACCCAGCACAAGTTTGCGATGTAATAATGGACCGCAAATACATTTCTGTAACTTGCACCAAGCATGAATAACCCTAGTAAATTTTGTTGAATTTAACAGTATTTCTATTCATTCAATCATTTGTGAAATTTAGTCATAAACTGAATGAAGATTTCTCAACATATTTATTTTGACTTCTTTTTTTGGAGCTGAATTTTGAAGGACAAGATTGTCCTTTCACTTTGCTCTGTCCTTTATTCTTGAAAGAATGAGCAGCCGTGGTTTTGGCATGAACAAACAAAACAGAGGGATGGGTCACACAATAATAGATCACAGGGTTAAATGGGTTTGGGACCTTAATCTCAAAGCTATGTGCTTGTTTTTGAAATAAATAGAAGATTACACAACAAAAATGCTTTTTAAGCGTAAATGTCTATTATTCCATGGGGAAATGGCACCTTTTATGGCAGAGTTTTAGACTAAGGTCAACTTGTAAWGAGAAATGACTAAATTGTTGCCAGTTTGGTCAAACCTAAAAGAAAATTTTCAGGCAATACTGCAAGATATTTTGCCCAGAGTACGTACAGTATGTGAATGAATTGCAGTGATGCCCCATAAAGTTGTGTTTCACAGTACCTGTGTGGGGTGTAGCTGCTAACTGTTTAGCKCTCATGTGTTTTTGTTTGGGTTCTACTGCATTATGATGCCAGTCCAAATGCGCTGTAGGCCTTTTCTGGACCGCATCCAGTATTTGCGTTTTTCCACAATTCGTGGGTACTCTAAGAAAGTAACCCTTGCCAAAATTGTGAGATTCACCAATTTAAAATCAATTGATTCATAGCCATTTCTGTGTTTGTTAGTACTGACCGGCATCTGCACCTTAAAATCTTTCTAGTGGGTCATGGCATATTTTTCTAACAGGCAAACAGAGCAGATTACATATTGGCAAAATGTTAAACAAGGATCTTGCACAACCTGTTAAAGCTCAGAATATGTTGGGAATCAGTCTCTGCTACTATGCCAAAGTTCATGTCAATATCTGTAAATTTGATGGTAGTTATATAAATATTTTAGTTATTGATAGAGACAAAAAACACAGGCATAAACACAGATATAGAGACAGCCAGCAGTCGAAATACAGTAACTATATGTGTTTATGTATATGTGTAAATGTGCATTGGTATATGTACATTACTATATATCACATSTGTATATTGTGGGGTTGTTTTTGTTTTTGTTTGTTATCTTTTATTTTCCTTTCATTATTCTTCTCGGCCTCTCCTGTATTAAGCTGCAGTAATGTGCAAATTTCCCAACTGTGGGATCAATAAAGTTTTATCTTATCTTATCTTATCTTATCTNATCTTATCTTATCTTATCTTATCTTATCTTATCTTATCTTATCTTATCTTATCTTATCTTATCTTATCTTATCTTATCTTATCTCTAAAAAGAAACTGGAAAAGTTAGAAATGTTTCAAAACAGCCACTAGTCCTAACTTCTAAATGATAAATGAATGATAACTGATGAAGAATACACTGAATCAAATTGATTAGATAACTGTTTTATCTGCTAATTTTAGTTTTGATTGGGTACAACGATCCAACAAGCAAAATTATGAAAAACAGATTTTCCATAYGTCCCGAAGAGCCGACCGATTTCAATGAAAGCTTGTTTCTATCGAGTGAGCCCGCGGAATCTGTTATTGATTGGTTTCAGTGCATGTGGGGGCACTGTTCTGTGATTGCTACTGTTGCACATTGTAAATTGAAGTAGTCAACGCACCAGTAATTGGGACATTAGTTTTTCCTACAAAATTACACATTCCCTCTCCCCCCATTTACACCTATTATATTTAACCCAAATTAAAGGAGTGTCAACATTTTCTCCCTGATGATAAATATATTTATCCATGAATTCCAAGCAAACACATGACACACACACAGTCAGAGAGAGAGAGAGAGAGAGAGAGAGATAAACAACATATTCCTGGCACACTCGAGTACTTGGTCATTGAGTGCTCCACACTGACAAACGGTCTTCTCTTCTATTCATTCTGGACTTACTTGTACACTTTTTGATGCCAGATCCTTTCTTCACAGCATGTCGACTTAGCTTGCACTGGAAGTTGTTCTCCCAAAACTCTGCAAACCAGATATTCCTTCTGTTGTTCTCCAACGTTCGACTGATAAAATATCGATCAAAACCTAGAAATGAGGAACAGAACTTAATGTTTCCTTTTTACACCTTAGTTGAGTGCTGCGTTATAAGATGTTTCCTTAACAGAACTTTCTATTTGATGCCATTTATATGCAGTTTATTGTTAAGCAAATAGTTTTTTTTTCTCACACTCAGATAATAATTTCCCATTATAATGATAATTCAGATCTTTTGTAATATGGTTTTACATGGGGTCGGAAAGGTTATGGACAATTATGAACTTATCTGTTTTAAGTAGTTCACGCAAATTTTCACAGCAAGGAAATTTTTAAGATTTATGTTTTAGAACCAATACACCCTAGTCCTGTCGTCTTTCAGTGTATCAATGTGTCAGTCAGTTTTATCAGAATTAAATTTTATTTTACTCATCTAAAAATAATTAACAACAAATATGCTAATAGTTAGTCATAATTTTTCCACAAAACCCAGAACAGAATTTTGAGCTATCTTTTTGCAAAAAAAAAAAAAAATTCAGAATTAATACGCAAGTAATATATGCCATTCCTTTATTACAGAGCTATTCAATTGGTGGCCAAGTGACTTAGTTTGCCCCCACCCTAAAAAGTGAAATTTATTTATACTTAACTCAATATCAAAATAGATATTTGAATACCCTTGCTTTTTATGAATTGAAGATGTGAATATTGTGACAAACAGAGTCATAAACAGCCATGTCACAGATCTTATTTAATTGATATCAAATTAAAGAAAATGCAGCAAAAACATCACAGTTTGACTGTTTTTTTTTAGCGTCTGTCTCCATTAGGAACACCAGCAAAGGAGAAAGTATCTAGTGGGAGGAACTAAAGGGCAATAAGATGAGTCAAGCATGTGCATTTGGGGAACTCTGATATTTAAAAGCATCTGTAAATTCAGTCACTAAATGTACATTGCTACTGAGTGATGTCTAATTTATTTACCAACTCAGAAATTTGTAATAAAAAGTAATCAACTAAAAATGTTGTCATTAGGGGCTAACTTCGTGATGCTTCTCAGTAATTCAGACAGAAAAAAAGAAGTTAAGTAGGTCCTCTGGACCAAGAAGAACCCATCCAGAGGACCTACTTAATTATTACTTTTTGATCAGGTGATAACCATTTTTCATACAAAGGTTCAAACTCATTCACAAGTTATTTGTATTATATATGTACATTATATATGTACAACAGTAAAATCTGACTAAATACCTTTTCTGTATGCTTGATGTGGCTTACACAGTGCAAAGAGGCAATGCATTCTCTTTCAATAAATAACAATTTACTTTATAAAAATAAGTCATTTAAAATGTGCTATGAAGTCATGTGATGTTAACGTGAATACCTTTAATAGATTGYCGTTTTGGTAGGATGGTGACGGCACCTTCTGCCATTTCTTCATGGTTCAGTATCGGAGTAATTTTGGATCCCCAGCTGTCTGAGCCGACCCAGATGAAATGTCCTGTTTGATTAGCTCTTTTAGCTGCTTGAAGAAGACGCCTTTGGGAAAGAGGGGGGAGGGGGTGCTTTTAAATAACGTATTACTCCAGTATTATATCATATTCACATATAGTAAAACTGTATATCAGCTGTGACAGCATGGTTCATTTTAAATGCACCATAAAATGAGAGTCTAGCTGCTCTGGAGCTTGCTGCTTGGGTGGAATTCTCAATTTTGAGTTTGGACAAAGATGCATAAAATTATTCCTGTGAGGTGAAGTTCAGGTGGCAGAAATACACTTATTTATTTATTTATTTATTTATTTATTTATTTATTTATTTATTTATTTATTTATTTATTACATTTGACCAGGCCTGCTGCAAAGAGTTGTCAGTTTGGGGACTAATAAAACCATCATTACTGACTCATACATAATTATGAAGGTGAGGATAAAAAAGTAAAAATAAATAAATAAATGGAACCACATGCTGTGCCAGAGTAGGGTTTTAATAAACGGGATGGTAAAGTTAGAAGCAGAAAACAGTTAAAACTTGACATTCTGATGATGGTGCAGCGGAGGCAGGAGCTGTTTGAGCATTGTGATGTAACAAAAATGCCACTTTGACTCTGATTTTTAACTAAATGACCTTCAGAGTCAATGTGTTCAGACTGTAATTTTACTATTATAAATCTTTACTATACCCTCCTAAGAATTATACATTTTTATTTTACAGTACTGCTTTAAAAAATGTTAGCCTCACAATTACCCAATTAAACAACCTTAAAAAGGGTATGAAAAAACATACTGAAAATGCAGAGAAGTTTTGTATTCTCATGTCATCCCCCCAAGAACTTTTAGGAACATTTCAGAACCACAGAGTTGTGCGAAAGACAGTTTTGACTCTAACCAAGATTTGTTTAGAGCAACATGCTCTCCATAACGTCTGCAGCCAGAGGCTGCAAAACATGTCCTGCTTATTTCAGTAGAATAGGTGACTTGGTTTAGCCTGGTAAAAACCAGACTTTTGTCCTTCACTTTGCTTCGTACAGAGGGTCTGGACTCACGGCTATTGAGAAGCGATTTCTTGCAGGAGGCGTGGCCTCTGCTGAAGTGTGTGTGTGTGTGTGTCATTGTGAAGAAGGCTACGCTAAGAAGCTAATCGGAAATCACGTGTGCTGTAAACAACCCTACTGAGGGGAGAAAAGTACCGAGCCGAACAAGACGACTGTAAATGAGAGCTGCTGCTTTGTCAGACAAATTAATTTAATTTGTAAGCCTTATCAACACAGACTGGCTTCATTCACTTCCTCCACTGCCATATGCTAAAATAACTAGCAGAAACTGCGCAGAACATCAACGTCATTCAAAACTCCCCCTTCTGTTTGTTGATTGGCCCAGGTAAAATAAACTACAAGCAGACACTGCACAGAAAATTGACGTTCTCTTCTCTGATTGGTTTGGCAAAAAATCTGTCAGCGAAATGGGAGAAGTCCCAGACAGAGCAGTGAAGGGAAACTAGAACTGAGCGGAGCAGCATAGGAAGGCAAGGGCCAGGCTAGACTTGTTTTGTTTTGTTTTGTTGTTGGTTTTTTTTGACAATGTTTTACTTAGCGTAAACATTTGATATTTTGCACATTTGATTTGTGGTTGTGCTAAAGCCTCCTAGTGAAATTCTGATGAAAAAAKAGCAAAATACAGAAGTTTTGAAGCACCCCTAATTTCTTTACACGGTTTTCCTGACCTTTTATAGAGAAAATTCTCGTTTTAATATTTTGAAGTGGTTTTGAAAAACTTTCCCTTAAGTCTTCTTTTGTTGGACTCAAACTGTTTTATGTGCAGTGGCTGTGTTTGTCCATTACAGCACAGGGCAGTGTGTACTTTAAAATATGCAAACTTTAAACTGGAGGACAAAAGCAGGTTAGACCTAAAAATATTTGCAGTAGACAAACAATATATGAATTTCACATCTCTAAAAAATAGAAAATTCAAAACATTGAAGACCTGACACAAAAGTTTGGAGATCGCTGTGTGCTGGGTTTGGAAATCCCACTGTTGGGGCTAAAATATTATTTTTATGCATTACACAGTATTTTCTTTGGTTTCATATATTTATTTGACTAAAAATATAAGAACAAAATAACAAAAAGCTAAAAATTCAGTTTAAAAGTGATTGTTTGCCCATTTGTCTATTCTGCTTTGAATCAAAACTGGTTCATCCGATGAGTTTAGGAGCTTTTTTATGCCTGAATGATTTTTGGAGTTAGCTTATCAAACAAATATTCCTGAGAAAAAAATTGTAGGTTTTTTTAGAAACCCTACAGTGC